TTTTTTTTTTTTTCCTTTGTCCTCCTTTTTTTTCCTTTTGGAGGGATGGAGGAGGGCAGTCTCTAGAACTGCTCTACAGGCTCCTTGAGGGCAGGGACCATTTTTCACACTTTTAAACACCTTGGTGCTCAGCAAAGAGTATAGCACAAATCAGGCTTAATAAATACCCGCGGACTGAATGAAAATACTGACAGTAAGGGCTATTAATAATGTAACTCACACGATCTTCATCACCGCCAAATCCTGGCAACGCTGACTGTGACACTTTTCCTTAAGCCTCTACAGACTAGTTACTGAGGTTTGTAAACCTAAGATCGCTTTCCCCAAGATTCTTGCACGCAGGACACGGTGACAGAGAAGCAACACATATTCAGGCAATCATTTTTCTTAATCATCTTCTAAGACGGCCAACGAGAACCAAATGACAGGCCTTGGTGCTTAAGGAAGGAGAAAAGGAGAGAAAGAACAGATCCCGCGGCGATGAGGACTTGGGTCTGCCCATCTCTTAGGAGAGATTCGGGCGCCAACAGGAAGGGCTGAGGGGGGCCACGGGAGGCCGGCCCAAAGCTCAGGACCGACCTTCTCCAGATCGGGAATGTGGAGATGCGAAGGGTCCCTGAGCGACCTCAAAGGGCCTTGGGCAGCGCGAAGGGACGCCCTCGGATGCTCCGACCCGGTTCTGACAGGCCATCGTCAGGGACAGGCAGTTCCCCTCCCCGCCCAAGCCGGCGCAGCCCAAAAGGAGGCGCGGCCCATCCTCAGCGCACCTTTTGCCTCTCCTTCCTCTGGCTCTCGGACTCCTCCAAGGGTGCTTCCAGCTCCATAATGTCCCCCCAGAGGAGTTTCCCAGGCATCACTGGCCGCCGCCGCCTCCCTCCGGGCACGGTGGCCACAACCACCTACGGGCAGCGACAGCGTGAAAGGAAGCGGGGGCAGGGCGGCCGCCCGGTCAGGGCCGTGCGTCACTTCCGGGCCACGCACCGCACGGCGGGGAGGGGTGGATAATCCCGGATATTCTCTGTTTAAACTCTTCCCTTGCGTCACCACCAACCTTCCAGCCAATGAGTGTGCGAGATCTCGACGGGCCCACCTTTGTTCTGACGTGATTGGCTTCTAGAATAAAACCCTGCCCGATCTCCATAAAGGCCGCGCGAACTGATTAGCATAAACGATTCGGTTTCTCTTGCCCTCCCCCACCCCGAACAGGTCTCCTCCGCACAGCGGAGGCTCTTTGGTGCTCCCCAGCGGGCTTCCCAGCAGGCGCTTCTGGAGCTAGGAAGCCCCTCAACGGCGGCTGAGAAGGGCCACCACGGGCGACGGGCGGGCGGACTGGCGAGTGCGCAGGCCCAGGCCGAGGCGACTGAGGAGCGCCACGCGCCGCCTTGCCATTTGCCGCCGGAAGCTGCAGCCCTCGGCCCCGCCCATCTCAGGGGGCGGTGTTAACGTCCCACGGCCTCAAGCTGGGCCCGAGACCTGGCGTGGGTGGAAGGGGCGACGGGTGGGTGGAAAGGGTGACGGACGGGCGGGCGGGCGGCCTGGAGACGGCTGGGTGGGCTGGAGGCGAAGGCCAGGGCGGGCCTTCTTCCTGAAGTCTTGGGTTTTCACGTGAAATTAGTTCTTGGTTCATTTTCTTCCTCCTCCCCCTCTCCCTCTCGACTTAAGAAGAAACTAAACCCGAGAAGAGAATCTCCTTGCCTGAAGTCACAAAATCAGTTAGTGGCACAGTCAGGACGGTTTCCCAGAGCGTTTTGGGGAAGGTGCTCCCAAGAAACAACAGGAAAAACCTGCAGAAGCCCAACAGTGGCTGCTGGAGCGGAGGCATGCCCGAATATCCTCAATAGATTGTGTATTTCAGTGACGAAAAAAGGATTTAATTTCACTGATGGGGATCCACTGCCCCTGAATCACAAGCGCATACAAAACTGAAACCTTTGATAATACAAAGCGTAACTTTCTTAGCATTTGTATACCCTGTCGCCCAGGCTGGAGTGCAGTGGCACAAGCACGGCCTCCGCAGCCTCCACCTCCTGGGGTCAAGAGATCCTCCCGCTTCAGCCTTCGAAGTAGCTGCAACCACAGACATGTGCCATCCCACCTGGCTAATTTTTTGATTTTTTTGTAGAGATGAAGTCTCGCCATGTTGACAAGGCTGCTCTTGAATCCGTGGGCTTAAAGCTCTCACCTTCGCCTCCCAAAATGCTGCGATTACGGGCGTGAACCACCACACTGGGCCTCGAAACAGTTTTTGAACTTGTCGATGTTGACACCTTATAGTACTCCTGCCATTTTTCTGTTTCACCTCTTCCACATCAGCAAAACATTTCCCTTTGAGGACTTTTTTCATCCAGGGAAACAAAAGTTGCTCAGGGCAAGATCAGGAGAAAAGGTTGGGGCACGGAGGTCATTCAGCTTTTAGTAAAAACCTGATGAACACGCAGCACAGTGTGGGCAGGTGCGCTCATAAATCACCCATCATGAAATGGGTAAACGTGTTGAAAAAAATCTCCAAAAAACCAAAAATTAACTGAAGCTGAACCCAGCCTCTCAGAACAACAGTAGTTGGTACACTGATGCCGATGGGTTCCTGGAACACTCACCTAGTGGGCGAAGCCTATATTAGGGGCCTGCCCTCCAGAAGATAATTCTGTGATTTTTGGGGGTCTCCTTTGTATGTTTAAATATAACCTTACAGATTTGGTATTTATAAACACAAGTATTCAGCTAATGATGAAGGGAAAAATCTCACCTGTCTCCCTAGGTGAAATTAGCCATCCATCTTTACATCTGTGCTTTTCTAAATCTTTTCATCCCAATTCCTCACACCCATTCCCAATTCTACCACGGTAAGGTCTGTAGCTCTTCCACAGGGTATGATGATGGGCATAAAAACATGGGTAGAGCCGGGCTCGGTGGCTCAGCCTGTAATCCCGTGCCTTTGGGAGGCTGAGGTGAGTGGATTGCCTGAGCCCGTGGGTTCGAGACCCGCCTGGGCAGGTGAGACCTTATCT